TCTTGAATGTTGCATGTTTGCAATGATGGCAGCCATAAGTTTGCATCATTAGGACTGCATCATTACGTACTCCCCTTGCAGGCAGAAACGTGGTGATTGCAGAGACCACACTGGCATAATAAGAAGTCTGGGTCCCTCTGCTGTGATATAACCAATGTCAAGAGCATGTTACCAGGAAGAAACTAGGAAGAAATGTAGAATCAAAAACTGACTACAGGTTTTTAGATGGGATGTACTGAAGTGCTGCTGAGCGACACAGGCCTGAAATGTCGCCATGGAAATCTTGCTCTGTAGTTTTCATTGTTCTGGAGATGACTGAAGTTTAAGCTTATCCATTAAATGTTAAATAATCTTTCACGTGGCAAGATTGAAACTAAGGGAACAAAGCAGTGAATGTCTTTTTTTAAAAAAAAAAATAAATAAAAATCATATAATGAGTGCTGCAATCCCATTGAAATTAAAAGGGAAGTAAATAGTTCAAGGTTTTCATAACTGCTGTGAACATTTGTCTCTGTACCCATGATAGCAATTTTAGTTACTTCTGCAAGCGCTAGGTAACAGCCAGATTGGTTCCCTCTGGACTCTGTCAGTCACAAGGATGACCAAACCCTCATTTTCTCTGCGGAAAGCAAGTGTGGGTAAATTCACAAGCTTTCACTTAGCAGGAGGCAGAATTGCAGCAGGGTATATTGCTGCACCTCAGAGGAAATATGGGTTCCAGTGTTTGTCTTTTGTGATGTCAGCCTGGTCTTCCTCAGGAGCACAGAGGTTCACTTTGAAAGTTATTTCTGCACAAGGTACTTGGGTAGGATGTAGCAGCTTTTTACAACATTTTAAGACCAATACGCAGAGCCTAGTTGCTGACATGAGGAAGGAAAAAAGTCCAAGACAAATCTACCTGCAATACCTAAGAACATTGCTTTGTGCTACTGAATGGGCTACCATAAATGTGCATACTTAAGGGTTACTCTCTCATGGCTATTGTTTGCTAACCTTGCAATAGCACTGAAACAGCAACTGTTCTTTATGCCTTCTTTACAAAGTGATGGCCAAACAAGGTCACAACCAAGAGGCTGCCCTGAGCAGAAATCACAGATCCTCTTACAAGAACATAAATGTCAGTGTTCTGTCTCGTCCTGACTAGAGTTAATTTCATCTAGAGCAGCTGCTGGTTCTGGTCTTGAAAGTCCACCAGGACAAAAGCAGAGCCTTGATACTGCATAGGAACTGTCTCAGGTCTTGGTACATCTGGAAACTGATTTGCCTTTTTTTTCCTCTTAGGGAGTGACTGGTGCTCTGGCTGTCTTGATGAAAGATGCTGTTAAACCAAACCTCATGCAGACACTAGAGGTGAGAACAGATGATTTGCTGTACATGAATTCTTGGAGCCAAGAAGCAACTGGTTTAAGTTCATTTATCACAGTCAGCTTGGGCTTACTTGGTGTAGATTAGGGGGTTTACTGTGGTTTCCTACCTAAGGTTCAGGGCTAGGGGAGAAGGCTACTTTCTTTCTTGGTCTGACGTTGACATGTGGGATGACCCCAAGGAAATGCACTAAATTTTTATGTGTCTCTGTTCTGTTATCTTTAATGCCAGGAAATGTCTTGGGAATCTGGATGGTATGGATGCAGGAGAATGGCAGAGAGTTTTGGGGATTTAGCTATCCTTTTCCTAAGAGGATTAGTATCTCCACTTGTGCAGATTATTATAATCCTGTTTGACCTGCAGTCCTTATTACTGATAGCAAATGTTTGATCAGAAGGCTTTAAGATATGTCTTCCAGAAGTGTTTTTCTTTACCTTCAGGTACCGTCGTACTTTGTTCCTGAAATGCTGCTGATCTGCTGAATTGTAGCCTCTGATTTTCTCTTTCTCTCTCTCTCCCACGCACTTCCTTTTCTAGGGAACACCGGTGTTTGTTCATGCTGGACCTTTTGCCAATATTGCACATGGGAATTCTTCAGTGCTGGCAGACAAAATAGCACTGAAGCTTGTGGGTAAAGATGGTTTTGTTGGTAAGTGTATAGGATGTGGTTTTTTGTTTGTTTTGCAAGGGAAGATATGCCTTTTTTTAAAATCATGATTGGGTTTTTTCTCTTGGAAGAAACTTTTGATAGATATAATCAGAGCATGATTTCTCTCACAGGCTTCTTTTAATTCCTACTCTAGTTACAGAAGCAGGATTTGGTGCAGACATAGGCATGGAGAAATTCTTTAATATTAAGTGCCGCTATTCCGGTCTCCGGCCTCATGTGGTGGTGTTGGTTGCTACTGTCCGAGCTCTCAAAATGCATGGAGGAGGCCCTGCAGTAAGTACTAGACAAGGTTTCCTGTAGGCCTGAGGGGCTGTTATTGTTGTTCTAATCTAGTCACTTAAAGCCCTCTATAGTTTAATCTGCTTGTAATTGTTTTGAGATTTGCATTTTTAAAAGGAATCTATGTCCCTGTTGCTTGTAAGCTGCTTTGTTATAGTATATTGCAGATACCTACCTGCTTGTTTCATTATCCTAGTGAAGTGCTTGTATGCTGGGGCTCTTGTGATACTACCTTAGTCGATCTTTTCTTAAGCTGTGAGTGCATCCTGCAGTCTTTCATTCTTCCTTTTGGTTTGGGGTTTTTTTTTTTCTTAGAAAAAGGATCAGCCTGGAGTAGAATGTTGTATCTTGATGCAGTTTAATAAGAATAAAGCATGAATTGCTGTTATGGATAAAAATCTTAGGGATTTCCATCTTTTTTCTTTTTTCCCAGGTTACTGCTGGGGTACCTTTACCAAAGGAGTACATGGAAGAGGTAACCTTCTTTAGCTGTTGTGACAGTTGACCATCTAACTGTGGTCATGCCACAATGATGTCATGCAGTGCATGCCTGGATAGCTAGTGTGTCATTTTTTTAGCTGCCAGGGAAATGCTTCCTCATATGAGCTGTAATGTTGTTCTTTTTTTTTTTGTTTGTTTGTTTTTTTTAATGTTACTTTGGCTCTGCTCTTTCAAGCATTTCTTGTACTTGACCTAGGCTTTTCGTTTTTCCTGAGCTCAAGCAATTGTTTGTGCACTCAGTTTTTCATAGTAATATCTACTGTGTGTCCCCTGACCCTCTCAGTATGGAGTAATTGCTTGGCTGAAATACTGTCACTGAAAATATTCAGAGTGCCTCTCTAATTACTCTCTTAGCAGCAGCAGATAGAAAAGTGAATTAAAGTCTCAGCTTCTATGCCTGTTCCTTCAATGCTTATGTACATTTGGATAAGTAGTCTGGCTCTCTTTACATTGCTGTAGCTTTTTCTCTTATGGAGCTTCTGTATGGATTAGTCTTTGCATAGGAAGGGATGAAATGTCTGCATTTCCATGAGTAGTCACTGATGCTGCAAAATGTAAATATGTGTAAGCTGAAAGCTGTTGCCACAGACTTCAAACAAGTGTCATGAATTTCACTGCTAATGATATTTAATACATAGAGGAATGTGTCAAAGAGGAAAATGAGGCTTTACTGTGGGGAGTTAATGAGCATGGGTATTAACTTACTAAGAATAACAAAAAAAAAGATAAAAAGGGATTTCTCTTACCTTGGCTTGGCAGCTGAAAACACTGATCATTACAAGTAGTCATTTCTTTTCCTGTCTTCCGTCCAAGAGCATGCACTGGTCTGGACTGTTCAGAAAGCAGCACTGGGGATTTGCCTTTCTAGTGTCATTCACATTTTGACATTTTTATCATTAGCTGTGGACATAGTGGATATGAAACAGAAGTTTCACTGCCCCTGATAGAACATGCTTTCTGCTTGCTGTCTTTTTACAGAATCTTCAACTGTTGGCAAAAGGCTGTAGTAATCTAAACAAGCAAATCCAAAATGCACGGATGTTTGGTGTCCCAGTAGTAGTGGCTGTAAATGCTTTCAAGTGAGTGAGATGGGATGTGGCAGGGATGCATTGGTGTAAAATGTTGGCGTTTTATATGATATGTTTAACTCAATCTCTTGTTTTCAGTACTTTCGAGGTATTGTTTGCAGCTTTTTACATTGTTGGAAGGTGCTGAAATAAATAGGGGAGCTCTGCTTAGCCATTTCAAACGCATCCCTTAGTTAAAATTAGCTTAGAGTTTTATGACTAGTATCTGCCATCACTTACACCCCTTCTGGCCAAATTACAAAAGGTGCCTGTGATGATATGGAATCTAAGCTCATAATAGATGGTGAGGTGCTGTCAACCATGCTGTGTTCAGTGGTCTGCTGTATAGAATCATTATGCCCTGCTAAGCAGCATTTTGGGCTCTGCACATTCTACTGCACAGGAAGTAGAATCTGTGTGTGGTCTTTTCATCTGAGCAGAAGAGCTTTTAAAGCTGATGCCAGTCAAAGCAGAGTAGCCAGCTAAGGATTCTTTATCTGAAGTAAGTGCATATTGGCTGATCTGGAGAAATCAGAGAGTTTAGCTTGTGTGCACATGATACAGCACATCTTCGCATCTCTAAATCAGCAATAGCCTTTCTGAGTTTGCTTGTGAAAACGGGAGTTGCATTGCTAATACAGGACAGAAACAGCAGAAAGTCTGGAACACTTCTCTGTCAGGAGTCATGGGTTTCTGCATGTAGTTCCAGAGTTCTGTTAACTGTCTGTTACTCTGTGGAGTAGTCTTCTTCACCAAGGTGGAGAACTGTGGTGCATAGTCCTTCGGCAACTTCCTGATGGCTGGATTCTGTGATTTCTTTGGACAGCTTTTGGGTCTTGTCAATAGGGAAAATGGTTAGATTGAACAGTTAATTTACTGTGTGTGCATTCTCATACAAATGTATAAACATTTCTCCTTACAGAACAGATACAAAGGCTGAAATGGCCCTTGTAGTGCAACAGGCAAAGGAAGCAGGAGCATTTGATGCTGTGGTGTGCACTCATTGGGCAGAGGGAGGTAAAGGAGCAGTTGCACTGGCTCAAGCTGTTCAGAGAGCATCGCAGACACCCAGCAACTTCAGGTTCCTCTATGATGTGAAGGTATGAACTGGCAATATTACAGAGGTACTTTGTTTGTAAGGTGGTTTCACTAGCTTAAGTTGCTAAAGACTGTCTGAAAGGCTGCTCTGAGAAACTGAGAAGAAATTTGGGTTTAGAACATAACATTTATTCCACTAGTCTCAAAGACCTAGTTAGTCAGTTCATGTTGTTTTGACTAGTCAATGAAATATTGTTTACTTTTGACACTGAAAGATGCTGCTGTGACTCTACTGGAGATGACAAACAGGTTTCTACCATGGCAGCCATGTTTCAGGGTAAGGGGAAGTTTAGTTTTTGAGACATGCATTCCTGTCAGAGCATGGACTGGAGCAAGCCAGACCAAACCTTTTACCTTACTGCAGAGCTTCAAGGTGCACTTGTTGCTGAGGATAGGAATCTATATATCAGGCTATGGAACAGAATTTTTCCAGTTTTAACTTCTCTTTCTCTGCAAGTAAGGCTTACAGAGTCACACTACAGATCAAGGTGGAAGAGTGTGTGTGTGTGTGTGTGTGTGTTTTTTCTAATGAATTTGTGTATTAAGCAAATATGACAGATGACGTGGAGGTAATGAAGTCACTGTTAGTTCCTAGGTTATGGCCTGAATTCTCCTTGAATAGCAAGCACCTATTCAAGAACCTAATGAGGTATACAGCTATGTCATTATATCTATTTTAGCTCCTCAACAGATGCTTTCAGGTTTTCTTCTTTAGTCTATTTTATTCATGCTTTTATTTAACCATTGACATGTATTCCCTCAAATTATTTTTGTCTGCTTTTTGACTTAGACTTGAGAGAAAATGAAGATGCCTCTTTTGCAGTGGCAGTAGTTAACACATAAGCACAGCTTGTAAGAGATACTGTTGTGTATCTTTTTTTTTCTGACTGTAACAAACTAGTTTTGCCCTCTTTACCAAGAGAAATGACTGCAGCAAGATAAATGAAATCTTTTGAAAACCCTCAAATTGTATGGCTTTGTTCTACAGCAAATAGAAGACCTGTTCCTTCTGTAGGTGAGCATTGCACAATGATAGGAAGCTGCTGTGATGTTACTGCTCTCTGTAGTTTGGCCCCACTAACTTGCTTATCTTTTTTTCTTGTTGTTGTTCTTTTTTCTAGCTCCCTGTTATAGATAAGATCAGGATTATTGCACAGCAGATCTATGGGGCAAGTGACATTGAGCTACTTCCAGAAGCACAGGAGAAGGTTGCCTTGTACACTAAGCAAGTGAGTTTTCCACGTCACATGATATCAGTGGTGCTTTTCATTTAAAATGTTCATATTGAACAGTGGTGTTCAAAATGTGTGTGAAGGACATCCTCACTCAAATAATCTCTTTGCCCAGGACTCATTATATGTTGCTATGGCAGAGGAGGATGTGGAGGGAGAAACTGGCCCTGGTTTCTATTGGAGAAGACAGAACTCATCTGGCCCAGTAGCATGTCTATGATGGTGTGTGAGGAGAGGAGGGCAGGAGGATGCAGTGATCTTTCTCTACTGTAGTCTCCAATCCTTCAGCAATTTGGGAAT